AGACCTGGCATTTAGTTTTGTTGAACTTCACTCCTTTGGCTTCAGCCCAGCAACCCATCCTGTCCAGATCTCTCTGTAGGGCCTTCCTGCTCCCAGGCTGATCAGCTCTTCCTGGTAGCTTGGTGTCATCTGCAGACTTATTGAGGGTGCACTGAGTGCCCTTGTCCAGGTCATCAGTGAAGATATTGAACAGAACCGGCTACAGTACCGACGCCTGGGGCACCACTGGTGACCAGTCACCAGCTGGATTTAGCTTCATTCACCATCACTCTCTGGGTCCAGCAGTCCAGCCAATTCTTCACCCAGCAAAGAGTGACCTGTCAGGCTTTTCTAGACTGGCAGGTTTTCTTTTTCTGGGAGAATACTGTGGCAGACAGTGTCAGAGGCTTTGCTAAAGACTAGGAAGACTACGTCAACAGCTTTTCCCTCACCCATCAGCAAGTCACTCAGTCATAGAAGGAGATCAGGTTGGTCAAGCACAACCTGCATTTTATTAACCCATGCTGGCTGGGCCTGATTCCCTACTTGTCCCACATGTGCTGAAGGTTTTATAACTTCCCTAGCACTGAAGTCAGGCTGACAGGCTTGTGGTTCTCCAGATCCTTTTTATGGTCCTTCTTATGGATGGCAGCACATTGGCAAGCCTCCATTCATCTGGAACCAGTTGACCAGAAATGCTGATAGAAGGAAAGTGGCTTGCCAATCAGCTGTCATCTCCCTCAACAGCCTCAGATGGATCACAATTGGTCCCACGGACCTGTGGCAGACCAGGTGGAGTAGCAAATGTCTAAATGTTTTCACCTGAATCATGGAGGGTTTATTCTGCTCTTCATCCCAGGCTTCCAGATAAGGAGGCTGAGTACCCCGAGTACAATTTATCTGACTATTAGAGGCAAGTGTAAAGAAGGCCCTGACAACCTCAGCTTTTTTCTTGTCCTCAGAGGTCATATTCCTCATTCCTCATTATGTGGAGAGATTCGTACCTAATTTATGCTATTGTCCTTTCTATCTCTGACTCAGAAGTGGCAGCCCTTGTGAGGGGGCTATATGATTTTTGGGAGGATTTGAAAGGATGAAACTTTGAGGCTACATAATGCATCCTATAGAAATGTTATCATTATGCACTTGAGGATTTCCCTGTAAAAGACAGAGTGATGTAAACACAGTCTTATCTGAAATCCTATCCAGTCCTCAAAATGTTCCTGCACCAGGAGGAAACCCAGAAAAACCTTGGGCTCTTCTAGAAGTCTCTATGTTTTTTCTCAATGGACTTCACTTTTTGAGATTCTTTTTCTTGCAGTTCTTCTTACACGTTTTCTTCAGTTTTTCTCATTGCAACAAAATGCTTTCCAAAGTACTAAAACAGTACAAAGGAACAATTATCAGTAGGCTTTTCATATCTGATGTCAGGAGAAGTAGATTGTCTTATTTCCAAATAATGTTGGTGAGCAGTGCTGTTTGAATTTTCAGTTGATGGTCTCATGAGAAAATTCAGCTTGGAAAAACAAATAAATAAAAAAGTATCATAGAAATCAATAGATCTTCATATGACCAAATGTGAACTTTGCTATAAGCTACTGTACAGTTACTGTACAAATGGAAACATTTCTATTTCCTTCTGAAACTGTATGATTCACAATGCTGATTTTTACAGCTCTGCTATGCTTTTTTGTTTCAGGTGAGAAACTCGTTATCTCATGTTATCAGTAGGGTATATGTCACTATGATATCTATTGCACAAATACAAGATACACAACTTGTGCTGTTGAGAGTCAAAGAATGTACATTAAATACAAATCCAATAATCTCCTGTTAGTCCAGATAAAATATGACCACGATTTAGTATTAGTCCAAGTGGGATGACCAAGATTTAGTAGTAGTCCACTGAAATGGTTACCAGCAATTACAGTACAGGCTGTCCACAATTAATATTGATAGATGCACATTTTTCTAATCCCTTTCTTTGATTGGATGCTAATCTTTCCACTCACCCTCTGAGTCTGAAACATTAATGGCTTCAATATAGGCACTGCATCTGGAGTTCATCTTTGAACATGATATTGATGGCTGCAGTTTCTTCCTTATCCTTGCTAGCAGAAGTAAAACATAGATGCTGACGGTTCCTTTCTCTAGGATCTGTGTATGTTTGTTAGCATAGTCTATATATAGCTCTTTTATTTCTTGAGACTGCAGGGTAAGTTGAAATTTACTGTAGGCTGTGTTTCACCTATGTTGGATACTTTTGTGATGGCCATAAGTCTGTTAATAGCTAGCAGCATACTAGTGACCTGCCTACAGCCTGAGCACCATAGTATGATTCTGTGCCTCGGTGTTCAAGGCATCTGCTCTCATCTGGTTTTTCTACTTCTCTATCCTGCTTTTTATTGCAGGCTCATAGATATGTAATCCTGCAGAAAATAACAACATGCTAGTTCCAGAAGGCAGCAATTAGTTATAAAACACATTATAACAAGCAACAGTGCAAAACTAACCAAAAGGTAAAATATACTGGAACGAGTGTAATAATCAGCAATAGATTACCTAGGTAAATAATAGTAACACTATGTAACTGCCAAAAAAGTTAGGCAATTGTTCATAGTATAAAGTACAAAATAAGCTAAGAAAGATCTTGAGGTGAGCCAATCTAAGACAAATGCACAAATGTTCTAGGGCTTGAGCTATTAGCTTAACGAGAAGCTTGTGTCCTATTACAAGCAATGACATTTTACTTTTACCAGGCTTTAAAGCTGCAACTTGAATGTCATTTAAGGCTAAAGCAAGTACACAAAACACTGTATATGAATTGGCGCATCTGCAATTGCTCAGAGTAGTGTTGGCATTAGGTGGACCTTCAGGCCTTATATCTGCAGGACCTATATTTTGAGGAGGCTCCTCTGCTAGGGACATGGTTTTCTAATCACTCCAATGGCCATGCAAATTAAATTGGGCGTTGTTTTTTTATTTTTTTTATTTTTTATTTTTTGGTCCAAAATACAAATGTAATTGTACTGTATTTCTCAAAGCTTTAACTGTCACAGCATTTATAGCGTCCTGTGATGCCCACCACATCAAACCATTTAAAATCTGTGAGAAAAAGAAAATTCAGCTTCATTTTGTGTAACGGATGAGTGTTCTGATGTTAGGTCTCTTTGTTAATTCCACTTCTTGATTACAATCTTAGCTAGATTAAACTTTCTAAGCTGTTATGTGATTTATGTGACTGGTATTCATGTTTGGAGTTACAATAGACCAGATCTACAAAAACAGAAGAATAGGTGCTTGGATGCAAGATCCTTGGACAAAATCTTGCATAGCCTCTGCTTTTGTTCTGCCTGTGAACCTCTGGGACTTAGCCCAAGTTTATTCTAAAGCATGTCCACAGTGAAAAATAAAGGATTGTATTTCCAGTCGGAACCTAGTTCTTTTCACTGCTGCTTGATGCAGCTATTCTGTGTATGAGCAGACCAAGACTTGAGTTTATGTTAAATATATGTTGACACAACAGTCAACAGGGAAGGTAGATTAGATTCTGGCTTTGTTTATATTATAATGACATTGACTTTCCATCTTCAGTTTTTTGGGCTGTTTTTGTACAGAAATAAAAATGACTTCAGCCTTATAGTGCAGAGAATATGAGTTTATGTTGCACATTATGCACTCAAACAAGACTATGCCTGATGTTATATTGTGGAAATCAATCGATTTTACCATCTGATCTAAACACATAATCAGCTGGCTGATCTGACTTATCCTGCAGGTCTATCTACTGTTAGATCTAACTAAAGAAAGGGGTGAGCAGTACTGCCTGTTTTAACCTGCTGTTAAAAGTAGCATAAATTCTCAACTGCATACTTGAACTGCTGCAAGGACTGTTGCTACACTGACCAACACCTCTCCTTTTATTATTCTAGATTCATACAACCCAGAGTGTTTTCTGTGTTCCTTCTTCTCATTTTTTCTTGGCCAATATTGACTCCACAAATTTTTCAGTTATGAAGGATTACTTAGGGTGAGGATGACTATGACTGTCATTGGTTGTCATACACTGTAAAAGCACAGTAATGTCAGAATGAAATACAACTCATTTCTGTATTTTGCCAGTTATACTCTGAGGAGTTTTTGTTGTTGTTACTAAAAGTATCTCTTCTACAGTTCTACGTACTCAGAGTTTTTCAGCTAAACTTTTTTTTACAGGAAAATGAAGTTCATTGCTTTTGGAGAACACCTTGCATTTGCAATTCTGTGGACCACAAGTAAAGATACTTTTTCATTTGTTCTAAGGAAAATTTCCCCTGGAAATTGACAAGTGGAACTTGTCTTGAAGTTACAGTCTTATATAGTGGTCAGCGAAAAACAGAAATGGAATGGTAAGAGAGCCATCCTGTGGAACACTGTGAAACACACAGACGAGACAAATCAGAACCAAATCTGGGATGGTTCTGTCTTCTTGATTTTGTGATATTGAGTGTTGTCCTTTGTGTCCAAACCTGTGTATGCTACTAAATGCCAAATTCCTTTACTTATTGTGTTCATTTTAAATAACCAATTTTCCCAAAAATGTGCAAAGTTTTCAAGGTTAAGATAAGGAGCTGCATTTTTTACAATATAAATTCGTCTAAGTTTCATACACTGAACTCCTTTCTTTTTGAGTTTAGTTTATAAAATGAAAATGAGGTTGGAAGATGTTAATTCATCCCTTTAATTTCTATTTTGAAGTAAAGTTTTATTTTAATTCGTTTGTAGTTTTAGGTGTTTGAAATTTTCACTTACAAGTTTCCAAATTATTCATTAGGGATTTATTTAGAATCTCAGTTACAGATTATTTATGGATGGTTTTAATGGGCTTGTTCACTTACTAGAGTAAACTGAATAGTCAGCTGCATTTCAGTGCTTATAGCAGCAGAAGACCTTCAATCTAGAGTAGTTTAGATCACAGCTCAAGGAGTAGGGAGAAATTGCCACTCTTTCCTTAGCTTCAAAAAAATATATTAATTGAAAATAAAATGGACATCTTAATTACCAATAACATAGCAATTGTTGATGTTTTCTTTTCTCTGATGATAATTTTATTTCTTGGTTTTGCTCCTTGTTTTTTTGTTTTGTTTGTTTGGGATTGATTTTGGAAGTATTAGCAATAAATTATCTCTTGCCTGTGCTGGTCTTCTTTGTGTGTTGTGGGAGGAAACATCAACAAATAAGCCTCCTGCATTGATTTCTAGCAGAACTGATAGCAGTAATCCAAAACCTATCCTAAACCTATTCTGTTTGTAAAAGTCTGTGGGATGAAGAATTCAGCCTTTATAATAACACTTCATAAAATAATGGATAATTCAGGAACATGGAAACATCACTTTCCATGATGAAGCTAATAAATAAAATGTTCAAACTAAAATGAATGCTCGATTGTAGCATATATTTCATTAAGTTAGATTTCCTGTTAGAAATTCATCAGTTTTAAAGATTTACTGTGACAATATGAGCAACTTAGAACCAGCTCTCATAGCCTTTTCCAGCATCTAAAGCAAAACTGGGCATGTCTCTCCATCCAGGGACTCAGATTTTATACCATTTTCCCATTCAATTATCAGCTATTATGAAGAATCTTTTCCTAGACTTTGGTTATGTGGCAGCAACAAGCTGTGTTTGTTTAATCCTGTTGCTAAATTTACCAGCTACCTGACTTATGCTTATAGTGTACCCTGAAGAAGAGATGCTTTACCAGATCTTCAGCCCTTGAAATCATATTTCACTTAGGCACCGATTTTCAAAATATGTTGGTTTCAATTCAGCAATCAAAATTGCTTTTGAGTTTTTTGTCTACTTCTGGTTTTCTGCCAAATTGCAGGCTTCAGCATTGTATGGTCATGCTTTAAGCAGACTTATTCTCTTGTTGCTGTATTACAGTCTCATTCAAACAGAAGAGGACTGAAGTACAGTATTGACTCTGCTGCTGATCTAGCATGGTGTTCAAGAAGCACAGCAGTTACTAGGAGATCTAAGACATCATAATTCAGAGTAGCATTTATGGCTTTCTCAAGTCTACCTCTGCCAGTATTACTAGGTTCCAAATCAAAAACCTCTGAGTTATTTCTTCTTAGTTCCAACTCCCAATCCTGACATTCCACCCGTAGCACTTTACTATTGCAAATGTCTTTTAAAAATGTGTTATTCATTTTAGTTATTTAGGCCAAAGTGTAAGTAACATGAAAAGCAGCAGTGTTCAACATTCAAACCTAAGTAAACCAATGTCAGTGGTACTACTGTGTTCAGCTGTACAGCTGTACTTGTTACCTTTAAATGCAGCTAAGCTTTAAGATTCCAGAACAGAAGGAGGAGGGTTTGGGGTTGTTCTTCTATTAAGGTCAGTGGAGCTCATTACAACTCCAATTATAACATAGATTACCTTAGTAACATTTGTATTTTCTACATACATGCTATATAGATGAAAGAAGCAGCCCTAACGCTGGGCAATGACGCTTGGTGTCATAACCACACAGAAGTACTGAGATGTATCTTTCAGGGAGCCAGGAACTCACTAAAAAGCACAGCACTGTTGTGTATGAGGTCAGAGCTCATGTTAGAATCTCTCACTCAATAAACAGCCTTCATCTACAGATGGGTAGCTTGCATGATAACTTTTTCCTTCATAATAAGGTTATTTTAATATTAGCCCTTTATTTATGAACACCTTGGTGCACAGCCAGTGATTTCTTTTGTTTACTAACTGCACATCCCACTGTGGTATTATTGGGTGTAACAATGGAATTACACTAATATATCCATGGATTCTGGCACTGGCAGCTTTCTAGACAAACAGTAGTCCTGCTCATTAGCACTAATACTACAGAGCTGCCATCAAAACACTCCTGCACTAACCCTGTGCTGGCAGTAGAAGAATTGTTTCTCGACAGCTTACTTCATCCTTGTTTCTAGAAAATATTATCAGAGTTGTGAAAACATGAAGTAGCTCTTCATATTTATTTAGTAGTTTAGTCTGTGGTCAGAACTGGGTTCTCATTGAGACATTACTCAAACATATTTTGTTTAGACTACTATTTTAGGTGCAAGATGACGAAAGAATGCAACTGATAAAAAAGAAGGGAATTACAGGCAAGAAAGGACAAGGGTTATAGAATGTTTCTGTGTTTGAACTCCTGTCTTCTGTTGAGCGTTATGTTTGTGAGTTTTGATACTCTTTGCATGACTTAAGAGAAAGCATAGGGAGTAATGTCCTGGACTAAACAACTAGAAACTAGATGTCTATTTTACACAAGCCAGGCTTTAAAACTCATCTGATCCCTTTGATTCCCATAGATGTTACATTGCTAGTGAGTAACTTTCAATAGCTCGAGGTAAATTCCTGTCCTTTGAAATCCAGTTTCAAAGTTAACTTTGAATGATGCTGTTAAACTCATGGCATTGCCAGATGGAAGCTGAAAAAAAAAAAAAAAAGGACAAATACATTGAAATTATTCTTAGGCTATAAATGAAAAAAATCATAATCATGAAATTAGAAATTGGAGATGACTAAAAGACAAAAGAAGATGTAGTCATATTGTCTATTTTCCCATAAAAATACTTGACCCTGTCCTGCCATTAAGTCTGAGGACTGAAGGACAAGGCACACAAACTTCAGTGTGACACCAAATACACCGACACTTAGGTTTCCAGATGGTTTATAATGAAGACATGATGTGTATTTATTTCCGTGTCAGTTCAATCTTACACTTAAAATTAAAGTAAAATTGTTTTGACATACCTTTGTGACTTCTTTAAACCATGGTTTGCCCTTATTTGAGAATGTACTTTGCTGTGAAGAAATGGCTTGGGGTCAGATCCAGCCAGTTTAAGATGTCCTTTTTCTCAGCAGACAGATTTTTAGGCACAGTTAATGTAGGTAACTCTTCTGTTTGTTAGATTTCTAGAAAGAGGAAGGAATTGCATATGGAGTCACACTACCCTTTCCATGCTTTTTATTTTCACATTTTTACCTGACCTGTCTCCATTTTGAATTTTTCAGTACGTTTCTAATTCCATACTGTCACTTTGTCTTCCTCTGTTCTCTTTCTCCATGCTTCTCTCTCCAGTTTCAATCCATTTTCTAGACTTCCTCGACTCTTTTTTTCCATATACTTCTCACATTCAGTCTCTGTAAAACACCTTAGAATGCCTTTATTAACAAACTGACAGCAAAGAAATATTCAGCAATGTTTTAGTTTTTTTTATCAGTGCCTGCTGGTCAATTCAGGTACTTTCCTTGAGACCAATTAGGCTTGAAGCCCACCACTATGGCTACTTGACGAGAGTACTGAACATCTTATTGCTTTCTCTTTGTAAATATTTTTACAGAAAAGCTGTGAAAATGACATTTTTCCTGTTACCACCTAATGGTACAGCCTTAACGCTGCAGAAAATGTGATGTTTTTGGGTAAGATCTTCAATATGCAGAAGAGAAATCTGTTTATTTCAAGAAGTAATTGATGTGATAGTCATTTGTACAACATCTGGAATCTAGGCACCATTTTTAGCCAGGTGTACTGGATCTTATAATGGGATTTTTGATGTACATTCTGATACTTTAAATAGAATTGAACTTATTTTTTATTTTTAAAAAGTGCAGTGGAGGAAATCCTGGCAGAACTGACCAGACTTCAGTGCAGTGGGATGTACCTGCTGTTTTTTCTGTTCCTTCAAATACCAAGAACATTATCACAAGAAAAACTACAACACATATAATCAGGAAGAATGCAGTAGCTTTTAAATTGCCCTGACAGGATATATTGCTTTACTTTTTATTTTCCAAATGAACATTTCTTCTACATACAAAGCTTTCTGCTCTGAAAGAAGTGCATGTTTTGTTTTGAGTTTTCCTGAAGACGGAATCTGCTTTGCCAGTGAATTTATCTCCCCTCAGGCTCAAGCCCACTTGCAGTCACGAATGCATTGTGCCTTGGGAGGAAATCAAGGCATTTCATTTCATGCGCTTTTATGTGGTTCTTCTGTGGCTCTTCTATGTGGTATGTTTGCATAGTTTGCACTGCACGCTTTGCTGTTTGGAGTAAATATTCTGTCAGTTGTAACATGTGGAAGCTGCCTGAGAGTCATGATATAATGTAATTTAGATTGGAAGGAACTCCTGGAGATCATCTTGCCAAGCTGCACACTCAAAGCAGGTTTACCTTCAGTATTTGGTCAGACTGCACGTGTCCTTGTCCAGTCAAATGTTGGAAAGCTCACAAAGACTGCTTGAAATTCTACATGCATATCTTTGTGATTTTCAGATTATTTTTGTAATTCACAGGCAGAAAGGCCCTTGCTACTACTCGTGACTACTGCTTTGGTCTTTTTGTCGTACACTCTAAGGAAAAGTTTGTTTCTGTCCTTTCCACAACGCCTCCAGGTGAAGACTTTTAAACTTCTCACCTCCAGGATTCTCCTCCCCAGGCCTCGCCTGCCCTGGGCATGCACCAAGTCTCTCATCTTTGCTCCAGTTTGTACTGGGAAACCCAAAAGTGAGAATAGCATTCCTGATGTGGCCTTGAAAATGCTAACAGAGAGAAACCCTTCCTTTGACATGCTTGTCAGCCTTCTCCTGTCACTCCAGACAGAAGATCAGATGGAATTTAGTTCCGCTGTGGGAAGAAAAGCTGAATGTGCTCGGCTTTCTGCTGCTGAGATCTTTTTGCTGGCTTGCTGATGCACAATCTAGGTACAAGTTTACCACTGCATTCCTGCAGACCACGAGATGGTGCCAGAGACCGTCGGATCTCGGTGTATTCCTGTGGGCCCGCCCACCGTGCCCGCGCACAGCCCCCGCAGCGCGGCGGGAGCGCCGAGGAGCGGAGCTGTGGAGTCCGGCTCGCCTGAGCTGCTCCCGGCAGGGGGGCTGTGAGCAGTGCTGCCCAGCAGGCGCGAATTGCAAAGGCGTTTAACCTGTCTACGGGTTCTTTGGTTAAACAAACTACGGATGAATGGAAACAAAACCAAGAAGGCAGTTTTTTGTAAAATCTCCATTGATGCTCACACTGTAGTTCAAAATATGTACTTAAAATCTATGCTGAATATAGAACAGTGTTCTGTCAACCTCAGTGGGGAAATGTGAGGTTCGTGTATCAGTAAGTCTCCCCATGCTAATGTGTCTATTGAAATCTAAGGCAGCAACAGGACAAGGGGCAACTGGTAAAAAAACTGCTACGCAGGCAGTGCCAACCATTATGAGGAGGAACTTCTTTACTGCGAGGGGGGCAGAGCCCTGGGACAAGCTGCCCGGCGAGGCTGTGGAGTCTCCCTCTCTGGATATATTCGAGACCCACCTGGAAGCTTCCCTGTGCAACGTTCTGTAGGGAACCCGCTTTAGCAGGCAGGTGAGTGCAATGATCGCCAAGAGGTCCCTTTCAACCCATAGGGTTCTGTGATTCTGTGCGGTGGTGATGCCATCACATGTCCCATCAAAGAAAAAGGGTGACTTCCAGCAAGAACAGCTAGAGGGCTGGTGACTTCGTGTCAGAGAGGAGGAGAGAGAATCTTTGTCTATTCCTTTATTGTGCTACTGATTAGAGTTAACAGAGTAGATGGAAGCGTACATAGTATTTGATAGTGTTCCTTTAATAGAAAATGGTTATTTTGAATTAATTACAGGTTTTACGAGTTTTAGTACAGTTGTAACCACACTCAAGCTAGGTCATTAGCTTTTGTTCCAAGTGTAAAAACATTCATTAGACTAACAATTTCTGATTTTGATATATAGTTCATAATCCATGGTTGTCCATAATGAAAGTAATATGTAAAACAGTGCATAGAAGCCATGTATTTCAGGCCTAGCAATGTTGGGAACCAATCTCATGCTTTAATGTACAACAGTTGATCCTAAGCAGACTTCAATGCAGTGATCTTTCTGCCAACCTTCAGTGTTTTTCTACTGTGAGTGACCATTCCCTTCTCCAAGGAAGAAAGAAATCCAGTCTCTGGATTAATTAGCACATAGATCCTAGGTAGGCGCGGTCACCACTTCTTTATACTTTTTTTCCTCCCCCTTGGATTAACTAGCATGAGAATCACATTATTAAGTTATGTTCTTTTACAAATTTTATTCTAACAGGTCACAAATATGTTCAAAGTACCAGAGGCCCATGAAGCTACACATGAAGAACACTTGTATTAAATTATTTTCCTTCAAACAGAACCCATTATTTTCTATTAGGCACAGCTTTTGAAGTGCAGAAAAGCAAAACTAATATATTTATATTAGTATTTTAATAATTATCATATCCGCAAAGTAAAAGCTTAAGAATATCTGCCTCATTTTGAAAATAAACTGCAAAGTAGTAATTATATTTCATATTCAAATGTTAGACACACTGGATAAATATGTTTTTTTTTCCCCACTGTAAAGCAAGGAGGCTATATTTTTAAAAAGAACTCACTGGCATTAGTTTTTTAGCTTTAGTTTTTAGTAGTATTTAGTAGTTTTAGATTTAGTAGTATTTATGTCTAAATAAAGGTAATATATGCTTTCTCCCTTGTCTGTTACTTGTTCAGATTAGTTGGAAGCTGAAAACGTCAGTTTACAGGTTTTGCAAGTGCAAAGTAAGAGTCTGGGAAAGATGAATATCCATGAAGTGTTGATCTGATTTCTCATCACAGAGCTTTATTTATTATTATCTGAAAAAAAAATTGTCAAATAACATTTTGACTTTATATCTTGAGTCTACAACTTCACAAAACTACCACTGCTGATATCCAGTAAGGATTTAAAGTATTTTTAAAAATCTTGTTTTTAAGGTAGATGGTAGAAGTGCAGCATTCTACATTACAGCCATAATCTAAGCTTTGACTACAGAACAGAATCAGTGTTCACGGAGTTTGAACACATTTTTTGCAGACATCAGCAAAGGTATTTTATCAGTATGCTTCATGCAAGCTTTGTGATGTGTTGTAGCAATTTCATCAGCTGTTGTGACTGAGTAAGGTGATATCCTTACCATAGGCAAATACCAGACTGTCTCAGTCAAATTATTGCACCTAATACACCATTTAATTCATTGTTTGTATAGCATAATAGATTATTCTAAATAACTTACTTCTTATGTAACATCTGCTGTAGTCAATATAGAATTGTAGAAGCACAGAGTCATAAAATCAGAAAGACCTCTAAGATCATCCAGTACAACCATTCGCCTATCATCAATATATTCCATTAACTATGTAGGTTTTCTCATTGTCACTGTTGTTGGGATTGGGCTGTTCTTGTGTTTTTGTTTGTTTCCCACCCACTGACTTCAGTGAACACTTAACAGATCTAGAAGCCACAGGTACTGCTCACAGGTAGAATACTCAGAAGCTCTCTTCTGTTCTATCAGCAGAGGAAGCAACAAAATGATTTTTGCTGTTCCAAATATAGTAGTCCAGCAGTGAAGCACCACACTGCTATTACTGAAAGAAATATAATATTGCCTTGTTGTAATGCACACAAATTGGATTGGCTGATGTTAGGATTCACTGGCAGTGAACGGCCATGGCAGGACTGTTTCACTGCAGCTAAGCCACAGCACCTTGCACAGGTGTATGACACCTAGCATTCATACAAATATGTTCCCAAATGCATTGTGTTAAAGAAAAGTGCCACCAAATGGCAGTGGGACTGCATGCACAGCAACTGAGAACCAGACTTCTAACACCTAATGTGTACAGTTTTGTTTTGTTTCCTCTTCAATTCAATGCGTTTTGTGCCTCGCAGAGTGCAATGCATGTGTTCTAAGGAACAGCATCATCCTCCTAGAATTGTGAATCATTAAGGTTGCAAAAGACCCTTAAGATTATCAAATCCAACCCTGATTCACAGGACCCTTTGCTGTAAGACTGCTCCTCTGATGTGGTATGTGTTTTTTTCAGTTCGCTTACTCACTTCCAGTTTATTTAGTCATTATGAAATTTGCAGCCAAGCACTGACTGCACTTCCCCTGAGGCCCAGTTGAGGCTGCAGTGCTGCCAGGCTGAGTGCATGCACTCTCTGAGCTGCCAAGCCCTGACCTCCTCCCCTGCTCTCCTTGAGATGAGGGACACTTTCCTCAGCTTTCCCACAGCTACTTGGTCAGTACACATACATATACATTTAATGACTTCTAAATGCAAGTTCACTGCAAGTTCAGATAAGCTTGTAAGAAAACTATTTTTTTAAAGTGGAATATTTACACTGTGGAAAGCTACTCTTTTCCATGCCTGTGCGTGAACCTTTTTCCCCTGTCCTTGAAATATACCCAACGTACTTTTCCCCTTCAGGGAGAATTCAGCTTCTGAAGTCCATAATTGTGCAGGTACAATATGAAGGGATTAGTTACTGTTTTTCAAATTTAGCCATTATCTCTTCCTATTGTAAGTACAGAAAGAAAAGATGCTACTCATACAAAATGGTGATTGAAACAACAAAAAAAAAGAAGTAAAAAATAAGGCAAAATAGAAATGTGTTAACCTGAACCTCTTGCCCTCTCTGTACAGATTGTGATAGGAGCAGTATTGGCACTCAGGCCATTCAAAGGTAGAAAAAATAATTTTTCTAAAAATATGTCACCTTGAAGACAAAGTTTCTCTCCCCGTCAGGGTCATCATGATCCAGCTTGCGTATGTCAAGTGAGTGATCATTCACGTGCAGAAAGTAATTTGTGTCTTCATAGCACTGGAACTTCACCGAATCTCCTTCAGAATGCATGATGAAAAAGTGATTATCTTCCTTCAGCTATGAGAATACACAGTGGAAAGAACACAAGTTATTTTATAAAGCTTTTCTTTATGGTCCAGTATGTTATGAAAGTTCAGGGATATTGCTATCTTGGTGTATATTAAATGGTTTTCTCCGTGACATTTATTTTCCAGTGTTCATCATAAATATTACTAGATCTTCCTAGAAGATCTAATCATTTGGTTTATATTCTATGAGGAATGAAAACAGAACAATACCTGCTTCCCTCAAAGGACTGAGTGCTTCCAGAACTGCAATTGCATTCCTCTGCTTCCCAAAAAGACCAGTGCAGGTTTGCTCTGCACTGTGCCAGTTATTGGAATAGTATAGGATTTTCTCCTGGTCATTTCCTTACCTCAGGCCTTCCAGGTCAGCTGCCAGTAGATACAACATGTCAAGTGACAGCTTCCCTTGCCTATTTTGTTATTATCTGAATATGACAGTGTTTATTACTCTCAATAAAACCTGGTTTATTAGGTACCATTTGTACACATCTCAGGTCTCCAAGAAATCTTCTTCTAAGATCCATCTTAAGAAGGAATAGCTATTGTCCAGGCAGCTTCTTGGTAAGACTCAATGTGTGTAAGCTCTCCAGGTGCTCCTGAGTGGGGATGAAAAATGTTACCAGAAGACATCACTGGAAAGAGGAAAGGTAAGAGATAATCCCCAGACTCATCAGCTCTGGAGTCCATCAGCCTTTTGAAATAAGCAATGAGAACTCTGATAAAGTCAGAGGAGATGCTAGGCCTGCCCAAAAAAAGAAAGAAAGAAAAAAAAGAAAAAAAAAAGAAAAGAAAGGCTCGGGATAAGGCTCAGAGAAAGAGTAGTCAACAGTTCCAACTATGCTGGAGATTCCAGCAAAGAGCACCTTGCCATAGAAAGAGAAATGTGCCTTTTCAGCCCAACTGACAAGAAAGGAAAGAATATGCCCTGTGGTTACTGTAGAGCACAGAAAGTGAAACGTGAGGATACACCTCCTGTATTAATGAAGCTACAGTGGAAAGCAGCTAAAAAGTCTTGTCCTGATAAAACAGACTGACAGCACAGTATTTGCAGCTTCAAGCCAAAATTTATGTTCTAAAAACAGGAAAGCTGAGGAAAGTTTGTCATTAAGAAAAACACCTTCTGGTAACTTGAGAATGAAAACTGTAAAATGGAACTGTATATTTAATGAAAGAATCTGATGGATTCATAGAGAGGTTGGAGAGAGAAGACCCTGGGGAGAATAGAGAGAGAGAACTAGAAGCAAGGAGAGGAATTAGTGTGTGCCGTGTAGAAATTCATCCTACAAATATGAATAGCAAGGGGCACTCAAATGAGATGGAACAATACCTGCTTAGCTGCATGAGGTGATAGAAAATCAGGTGGGGAGACCATCAGAAGATGGTTTGGGTAATTATATGTGTGGGTGGGAGAGAGCAGCTGTGTGCATGAGCAGCCACTGCTGGAAGTGCTGACTCAAGAGTGCGAGATGCTACAGTTCTGACTCTGACACTGAGGAATATTTACAACTACGTTCTACGCAAGAAAGCAGGAACTGGGTAATTTTCCATTATGGCCTGCTAGGAAGGCAGATGACAAAACCCAGAGAAAGACTTCTTCCAAACAGTTCTTTCTGAGGTTATCTCATACTACATCCAGAAAACAGCTCCTGCTGCAGCAGGCACAATCATTCGTACGATTTAGGAAATTAATAGGTGGTTTTCAGTTACAAATCTGTTTCTTTGGCATTGCATTAGAGGAAAAATAAATCTGCAGGTTTGCTTTCATGAAAAAAATACACCTTACTCGTGCCCCACAGGTAAGTCACAGTGCTCTTGTAGTAGCAGCATATGCCCAACATGTGGTGACTCAACAGGTTAAAGAAAATCTGTCCAGGTATGTGAATAATGTTTCAGAGGAAACAGTGTGAGAGAGGAGTACCAATGTTTTAAAATAAATCAGCACAAAAGGATTCAAATGAGGCACAATTAACAAAAGCCCAGGCTGGGTCTAATTGCTGCTCTCTGAAGCAGGAAGCAGTTAAAAGATAAGTGGCTAAAAAGGACAGCTGAAGCAGAGCAACTCGCCATACACCATCATGGTATCTACATGGCATACTATAGCATACTTTTTGCCCCACATGAAACAAGGAAACGTTAATCATCATAAGCAATCATCAGCAACAGCTGATGATAAACAAAATAATAAAACAGAACAGCCATCTCAGCTGCCTCAGTGAAGTCATTGTCCTTGGGAAATATTTCAGAAAAATATGATGCTTTGAGTTGAGAATGGAGCAGGGCTGATGACACACAAGTTGATGGCCCAGTGCTTGCTCAGCATCAGGAAGACTTCTTTTTCTCAAATCCAGCCCCAGGGAGCAGGCTGGACAAGAGGCTGGGAGCAATGCAGCCAGAACAGCTGGCCCCAACCCACCAAAGGGATACTTCACGCCATATGACTTCATGCTCAGCAATGGCGTGCAGAGGACAGTAACACTGAGGGGACTGTTTTGCCTTCCAAGGTGTCTGTTGCTCAGAGAATGGTGATGCTCTCTATGCTGTCAGTTTCTGCTTTGACCGATCTGTTTATGAGAAAGGGAGAGTAATTGTTTTTGCATCACATAGTGTTGTTTGTTTGTTTGATTGCTTTTCCAACCTTCACATATTATACTGTCTTTATTTTGACATAAAAGTCTTCTTATTTCTGTATTTCTCATCTCTCCCTAACCCACTGGTGATGGAATCATGCAAGTGGCTGCTCCAGCACAGCCTTTATCTTACAGCTGGTCCTGTCCTGAAGAGCAGTAGGGCTGTACTTTGACCCTAAGCAGTCAGTTCCAGATGCTGTGCACTTCCCTCCACATGGAAGCAAACTGGCTTATACCTTGCCATCCAAGGGTTTGAGAACAACACTTCAGTGACATCAGTTATAGCATGCACTTTGACTACTGCTCATACTGGACTGTAGGATACCTCTTGCAGAAGAGCTCAATAGTGGTGTGATTTTGTTCAGGCCACTTTGTCTAGGTGCCAAAAAGGACAGCCACAAATTGACCCCAGCCAGCAGCTAGGCACAGTAAATATGGCATTATCACTGAAAATCTACAGTTCTGAACCAAAGTAATTCTGTTGTCCTCACTTCTTGTCAGTTTGGTGCTGTATTTTATTTATCTTAGTCTGTTTGACTGGAACCATGAGTAAGTCTCACAGTAAGGCTATTGATGACTGCATAGCTGCCCTCTGACTCTGTCTTGTTTAGCTTTGCCTAGCTACTCAGTGAATTATAGAAGACCATACAATAAAAACTAGTCTAGTCAGGTCTTAATGGAACCGTGTGAGCAGCCTTTCAGTTCTGGAAAAATGCTGTCCAGCGTTAACAACCTAATAAACCCATCAGGGAACAACCTGAGGAGAAAGAGCCAAATCTAGTGATAGAATTGTTGACTTCAGTCACTGTTTAAGCAAGAATGTCAAGGCAAGAAGGAATTTAGGAGGGGTACCAAGCAAGGAAGGAAATAAAAAAAGAATGAAACTGAAGGAAGACTGAGCACTACTAGTGCTTAACAAAAACTGAGAGTGAGCTGAGAGGCTCACTGTTCTTCTGCCCGTGCCATAAGGATACAGCTCTGACACCATGTGGCTGAATAATTCTGGTCCAGACTTCTGAGGAAAATGTTGATTTGTGAGACAGGATGCAAGAATAAGAAGAGCATCACACGTAACAATCTAGTTGAGCGCATCAGGTCAAATCAGTACATTAATGTAAACAGTGAATACTAAATGACTTGTTTCAACTTCATAACCTTTGCTTTAGAAGAAATGACTGGGGCTAACATTTCCCTAGGCATGCATTACATCAAGTGGCAGAGATTATAAATGGAATCTTACTTAGGCTGGAACAGACAATATTAATCAGCAGGAGAAATACATGAGTGGTTGGAAGCATCCCATTGTTGTCAACATGTCATGTGGGCGTACCTGGAAGCCCTTCCTGTGGTGGAAGGGAGGGAAATAATACTCCACACCTCTTACTACAACCCATTACATACTTATCTGCTTTATGATGTGGATAACTGTGATAAGCAAACTATACTATTGGGTTGGAATAACTGCTGCCCAGTCAATGCTGGGACTCAGCTCCAGGTGGATGACCACCAGTGTGTGCCTTCTGTGAGGGAAGAACAATGTGTACTATGCAAACTTCTCTGCGATTAGCAGCAGAGCACTGTAATACACATTGGTTGTGGTCTGTGTTACCTGCCCACTTCAATCCTCCGTCATTTTTAAGCTTTCATTGCAAACTATTATTTGCCGTTAGAAACTGTTATTATCTTATGATAACAGGCTAAATAATAAAAGATCTTTTAATGAATATTGATTGTTAGCTGTGACTCCACAAGCCTTGATTTCAGAAATGGAAATCTACAGCACAGTGGGAAAATCTTTCTGCTGGTGTAATGGCAGGCTTCAGATTCTCACATTTCTGGTAATTCCACCAGCAGTTTTCCAGTAATAAACAAAATGCCAGTTTTTAGCACTGCCAAAAACTAGCAGACAAAATACCATGTTGTGGTAGAACGTAGCTCAGTCAACCACTTCTGAGCCTGGTGCACTATGGAGGCTTAATTCACTGTATCAGAAAATATTTCTTGTTTAGGGCACTCATAGTAGAAGGTTGACAAGAATTTCGAATTTCAGGCAGGGCAATGGCACTGCCCCTTGGGCATGACCCAACTGCAGGCTACTCATCTCTCTGATGTAGGTAACACTATTTCCTACTTGAGGGTATTCGCAAACTGTGATGGGCAACTCGCTAGCTGCCTTGTAAGTTGTGTAACAAATATGTTCTTAGAATGATTTCTTAATTCTTTCTCTACTATCAACTCTACAGGAAAAGGCATGTCTTCTATAAAAAGGCTTTCAAGATAGAGTTATATCATGCAAGGAAGAGGCTAGAATTTGTCTTAAATATTGTCTGCCTTGATTTTTTCTGCTTTTGTGTAGAACCAAAGAATGTTTCTGGTAGGAACCTCAGGAGAAAAGTAAACTGAAGGACCGAATTGTTTTCTTGCTAGAACTCAGTTAACTAATTATGCAAACAAATGAGGCAATAGATGTGTAGCTTTTACCTTTGAAAGATCATTTCAGAATGACTTCAACAAGAAACTAACTGTAATCTCAAGCTGCCAGAATTCCTTTCTGACTTTGGAGAAATATTAGAAATGATATAAATTTTAGGCTGTGAATTTTAGAAGTTCAGTATTTCAGTCTGTTATTATGAAATTGTGAAAGCGATCTGATCCCTGTTAGCTTTAATTTTCCGTACTGAAATTGGAAATATTGTCTTTTCATCCTTTTGAACGGTCAGCTGGAGCACTGCCGTAATGAAAAATAATTGTTCTCAACATTTTCACGTCGCTTTATTTTCTCTGCGTTAGAATTTCTGTTTAAAATATATTAAAGGACAACTAAAGTATCATCCTTCCCGTGCTTAAAATATTTTATTGTTTCTATCTATAGAAGAAATGACAAAATCAAACTTTGGTCACCAAAATTTGTGAATTTTATACATCACTGCATAAGTGACTTGGCTGCCTGTATAACATCAGATACAGTGTGTTACTCCAGATCCATAGTCATCCACTGACAAAAAAATTCAGTCTGAAAGTGCTCTGGGGGTTGCTTATTTTTAATTTAATTTATATTAAATATTTTGTATTTATTATGATTATTTCTTATTATTATTATCCATATTTTGTGTTTTTATCAACTCAGTAAGCTTTTGATACATGGGGATTCGTTTTTGTTAAAAATATCATTATTCTTACAATTCAAACATTCTCAATCTGCTAATGCACTCATCAGGATTTTCTAGACCTTGCAAAGTGATTTTCATGCAGCATGATTTCTTGTACATCTCCCCACATTTTAGAGAAGCACAATAACACAAAAATCATGTTTTTGTCATTCATGTTGTAATTAAAACTCAGATATTTGGCTTTAGATTGAATAACATATTGTGCACACAAGCCAACTGGAGAAGTTGTTCACATTGTCTTTTTCCTGAGGAAAATGCTAAAAATAAGTACATAAACGTTCATTTCATGGGTAACAAAAAAAATGTACTTAGCTGCCTTTTTTTTTAATTTTTTTTTTACATCTATGTTTGCTTATGTTCTCTCTCATACATACGCTTTTATTAATTGATCATAATTATATACCTTTTTGAAGTCAAGACCTCTCTTCTTGCACGTTTTCCTGTTGCTTTTTTCCACTGAAGTGTGATCTGGCTCGGAACAGCATCCCTTTAAAACCTGTGTTTACAACCATGGAAATTGGTAATTTTGCCTCCACATTTTCCACTTCTAATGCACAAAATGCTGTATTAATTCTAATTTTTTTTTTTTCCCCCAAAGCTCACTTGTACTTAAACTTCAGTTATCTGAGATGAATAAGTTTTTAAGTTCTCAAATATATTATGAATTGGATTGGAAACAAACATCAAGAGAAAATCCTACAAACTGTTCAATGCCAGGATTCTATTTTGCAATGCAGCTGAGATTGCAGCATGCCATAACCGAATACAAAAGAAATCATTGCAGATAAGGAGCACTGTCATCCTCACAAGATTTCCTGTCAAAAACAAAGAATTATTCACATTCTGTTGGAAACAGAACAGTCAGTTATCTTTCCAAAGCTTTTACATGCTTGGGGGATAGCAAGGACATCTTATGCCATTTTTGGTTAAGAGCTGCTCTTAGTCACACTAAGAGATGTAATCTGCTATTATTCCATACTTCTGAAACAGGAGTTGGAGCAGTAAAATCTATTAGCACTCAACACTCAGTTCTTTCTCCGATTTGGTGGAACACCTTTCATATCATTAATTTATGAAAAATTATCTCTGAAACAGAAAAGATCTTAAAAAATAAATACTCTTCCAAGGAAAGTAAAAAAAAAATTCCGATGTGGTAATATGCTGTAAACATGATTAATGTATCTTATAAAGCATATTTCCAAAAAAATTTCCATTTTCTGGAAAGTCCTGAAATGAAAAAAAGAAAAGAAAAACACAGAATATTTATTCAGAAAAAGACATTTAGAGGGCTGGAGCACCTCTCCTACGAAGAAATATTGGGGGAACTGGGCTTGTTCAGCTTAGAGAACAAATGTCTGGGAAGACCTCACTGTGGCCTTCCAAAATTTGAAGGGAGCATATAGACAGGAGAGGGTATGTCTGTTTACAAAGGTGGATAGTGAGACAGGGGAGGTTTAGGTTAGATAGTAGGAGGAAGTTTTTCACACAGAGGGTGGTGACGCACTGGAACAGGTTGCCCAAAGAGTCTGTGGATCCCTGGAGGCATTCAGGGCCAGAGTGGATGTGGCTCAGAGCAGCCTGGTCTGCTGGTTGGTGACCCTGCACATAGCAGGGGGTTGAAACCAGATGGTCCTTTTCAACCCAGGCCATTCTATGATTCTATGATCATTCCTTATCTTGGTATAACTTGGGGAAACAGAGTTCAGATCTTTCCCCTGCCGTAAAGGTTAAATTCTTACACGAAATTCTTCCTCAGACAGATAGTGAGGTTTGTAACCTGAGCATACCACAGGGAAATCTGACCTTGACTGCTCTTCCCACTATAAATAAACTACAAAGACTGAAGAAAATGGGAATGCTCTGACAACAGATTCTTGTAAATCAGGCTGATAAGGAGAAAATAATTCCCCTCTTAAACTCACCTTGTTTCAGTGCAATATCCCAAGCCCAATTATTTTTTGCAATAATCTATTTTATATATTTGTCTGGATAGCTGAGAGGGAGGCAGTCAAGTTATGCAGGGTGGAAAGTGATAAGGAAAGGAAAACCAATTCAAAAAGGACTGTGGGAGAAATTGTTCTAGAGAGGGAAAGAGCATTTAAAGTTACAAATTAAACTACTTCTTACCTTCAGGCAGAGTTGATTTTCACCCTTGCTCAACAGCACAAATTCATTACACTTTAATCGCTGCATGAGGACCACCACGTTTTTAGAGTTTGGTTTTCCTAGAAGAAGAATTGCAGTAACATGTGTATCACTTCATAAAATGAAGCACAGATGAAAGCAGTAAAGCAGACAACATTCAGATTGGCTTTACACTGATAGGGACAGGAAGAAAAACAAATACAATCACTCAGTAAGTCTTTCCTCTGAAAAGTATTTAAAGTCTATGACTTCATGACAATTTAAACTTAATTTCTCTCCGAAAAAAAATTGAATATGGATAAAAAAAATGATACATGGAGTATCAGATGTATGTGAGTATAAGTACGCTTATATACATAAACTCATCAACTGTGAAGGCACATTCACATTATTATGGTTATTAATGGGTATATGATATTATTACAGGTATACAGGATACTGGTTTATATCATACACCTGACCATGCACACGCCCCTACAGAAAATACCCGATTTTTCTGTTTTATTTACTGGGTACTTTGTTGGTTAAAATCTTTCCACTGTCAGTGGGTGCACTGGATACAATTCCTTTCTGAAAACATTGTTTTCTCAGCTGCAGGAAATAAGTGTATACAACATGGGATAATTTTCAATCTGATAAAACAAACACTGCCTTTGGATGGTTCAAAGTTCCAGATCCAGAAAAACAAAAAACAAAGCTACTTTTTGTCAACTATTATGTGACGCAAAAGCGTTAGCTAGCAAATAGCACTACCTGCCATAAATATCTGCCTTGAAGATTTATTTAAAATAACACTACTTGTGCTAAGAAAAAACACGAAAAACCAAACCAAACCTAAAAAACTTATTTTTTAAGACCTTTTTTGTATCAGGGATAATTTTTTTCATAAATTAATCATATGAAAGGTGTTCAAATCAGAGAAAAAAAACTACATGTCCATCACCACAGCAAATGAATACAGAGCATACAGAGTTACAGAGGTTAGTAATTAACAGCTTTAACAGCTGCAGTTAAAGAGTTGTGGTTTTTTTCTTGTCACTGAGGATATTTTTCAGCCTTTGAAGGTTATTCTGAATCAGCAGAACATACTAATTCCACTGGAACTATTTTATGTTCCCTAATCCTACATATTATTTTAGCTAGCCTTTCTTACCCTAGCTATAAAGCTCTGTAGAAGTCTTCCGAAGGAATTTTGTCTGAACCAGTAACAGCATTGAAAGGGCATAAAAATCCTTGATAAAATTTGAGTTGCACTTCAGCACATTGTGCTCAGTTTGCATACTTATAAATACATTTGATGAATGTAACATCTGAAAGTCTTCCCACTTCATTACGTGCAGATTCACCAGTTCAGACTACCCCAGTCAGTTGTCCAGCATCAGCTGTAGCATATAGGTGGCACATGAGCTGGCAAGAGATATTTCATACCCAAGTCATAACTGTGTTCTGACTGAAGGGAGATGAACTGTCTAAATCATGCCTGATAAACGTGACAAATGGGCTATTGGATAGATGGCTGCTGCTAGCCAAAGTAAGGAAGTTTTCCATGATTTTGTACATGCTGCTTCCACTCTCTGTTGGGCTGTGGTTGAGCTATTTATCTTCTCTGATTTCTAAAACCAGAGTCTTAGGGGATACTTTTACAAACTCGTGCTAAATTGAATGCCTTGTAATTGATGAAATACAAGGTGCCATTTCTTGCTTGGGGTATCCCTGAAATGAAAATTGCTGAGATTTAGGCAAGTACTGAATGGATGGGTCAGTATTTTATAGTCTTCCCTAGAAACCTCCACTTGACCACTGGTCAAGATGCAATCCTGGATCACAGCAGTTCTTTGTGATCGAAACTGAAATAAATTAATCTTTTATTGTAATACTGGAACTAATATATCCTTCAATGTACCACTCATCTGTTATGCTTACAATGGGGAGGTTCCAAAAATATGTCTTCTCTTTCTTCATACACTTTTTATTTTCCACTTCCTGTTACAACATGTCTTTGCTAGCTGAGACTCAAATGCCAGCAATATAGCACATGTTTTTCTTTTAAAAATATTGATTCAAGATTGAGTGCATTCTATTTCCTTGTGCAAAGACATTTGTCTTCTGTTTAAGCCCTTATTCATAACTTGCTATGGCAAGTTTTGTGGCTTTTAAGATTGTCCAGTAGCCTGACCTAAATGAACATCTGGTTTAATATATGGCTTCTGATATGATGTCTTAAAAACATTACAAACTCATTTTAAATCAGTCCCTAACAAAGAGAATGAAACATTTTCCTCCCACGTGAGTCATTCAAGTCATACCTCTAACTGCTGGCTCCTTGCTTGTGAACAGGCTTAACCATGCTGTATCTAAAACAAAAGATCTGGAATTAGACAGAACCATCCTTCAAACTTAAAAACATAATGATTTGAAGAATTGCTTTAGTGTATAGTCTGAGAAATGGAGAAATGCTCTGGAGCTGCAGTAGACATCAGACTTCATTTCTTGCAGGTTTCTGAATCCACGTGGTGCCACTAGGACTGAACGGTTGTACCTGTACACCTGTACACGTGCACCCTGAATTCTCATGTGCTCTGAGTCTAATAAATGTACTGACTGGATGTCTTTTACAAAAGAGAATACACTTGACAAAATGGAGGCCAGTGATGAAACAATATCAAATAGAAATCCCTGGGGTCTTTGGGCAGTAGATGTGAGACTCCTGACACAAAGTGAGTAAGATTGACAAGTAGCAGGTAGCCAAGGAATGGGTGTTGCAGCATTTCTTGCATCAGCGTGCACTATGTAGGCTGTGCTTTGGTGAAAGCAGCACCTACTCAGCTCAAAGCCACAGATAACAAGGAGTTGGCTCCTTATATGGTGCTATCTTGATGATACTATCATGAGTGTATGTTTGTGGTACTTGTGTTTACATATACAAATGTATCACATAGAATTTCCTCTTTTCTGTTGTTTCTTTTTTTTTTTTTTTCTTGGAGAAAAGCAGTATCTTCTACAACAGGATTCTAACACCATGAGCATACTCACAGATCTTACAGTTTTCCACTTTTTACTGTACTTTCTTAAGAAATCTGCCTAGTTTATTATCTCTATTATCTCATCTTTGGAAAACAAATAATTCTAGGATAATTGCATTTGTTGTTACTTGCCTCTTACCAACGAACAAATACCCCAAATAAACCCTAAGAACCACTTCTGTGGTTCTGTGTACCATTTTGGGATCAATTAGAAAAGACCTGCCTGAGATAAAAGAAGGTTTACATGAAAAATGGAATAATTCTACAAATTCCAGAATGTCTCTGTTTTTCTTAATTTTGCCCTTGTCTCTGATTGTTTTCTTTGCAAGGTGCTGCACTTGAATTGGGGCAGTCCCAGATTGGTGCACAGACTGGGAGAAGAGCTCATTGAGAACAGCCCTGTAGAAAAGGGCTTTGAGGTTCTGGGGAACAAGAAACTTGGCATGAGTCAACAGTTTGCACTTGTGGCCTGGAAAGCCAGCTGTATACAACGTTGCATCAAAAGAGGGATGGTCAACAGTCAGAGAGGTGACTGTCCTTCTCTGCTCTGCCTGTTCAATATCCTCCCTGAAATACTGAAACCAAGACTGGAAAAGACATGGAGAGGGTCCAGAGGATGCCATGAAGATGATCAGAGGGCTGGAGCATTGCTTGTACAAAGAAGAGCTGAAGCAACTGGGCTTTTTCAGCCTGGAGAAGGCTCTGGGGAGACCTTGTAATGGCCTTCATGTACTCAAAGAGAGCTTACAAACAGGAGGGTGCTTGACTTTTTAAACACTTTGATAGTAACAGGACAAAGGGGAATGGTTTTAAAAGAGATTTAGATTAGACGTTAGGCAGAAATTCTTTACTAGAAGGTGGTGAGGCACTGGCACAGGCTGCCCGGAGAAGCTGTGGGTGCCACATCCCTGGAGGCATTTAAGATCAGTTTGGATGTGACCCTGATGTAGTGGGTGGAACTGGATAGTCTTCAAAGTCCCTTCATATCCAAGCCATTCTATGACTGACAGCCAAAAATGTAGATTTCCCAATTAGTTAGATGGAGTGAACAAAACAATCTTTTTTGAAAGATTGTTATGTATACTTACACACTTAACAGTATGTATTATACTTACCTATTTTAAACTGCAATGAATGCTTTCATATATCACTATCAATATTTGTAACAATGCAATCAAATGTCGTCTGTACTGGCTCATGAACAGACTGTCTAAAAGTGCGTTCAGCAGCTTCTTATGATGCTACACAAACAGTTCACGACTCTTGGTCCAAAAGGCACACTACCTGCAGGGTGTTGTGAATCCATGGTTGATATTTCATGACGACCACATTCATCTAAGTTGAAATGCACAGTTTTTGAATCTTCAGTCTGTATATAGCACCTCAGTGTTCTCCGCAGTTGAAGCTCTAATCATAAATGAGTTGTAATTAATTGTACTGATAAGAGAAAAATGATACAATTACCTAATAAAGTATAAGGTGTATTTTATAGCTATTTTTCCTTGATAATCAGTGTAAATTTTACATAAACTATATGTACATTAGAACAGTATAGGCAACATATAATTATAGTTAGCTTAAGCTGCTTTCTAAGGGGCTTGGTTGCTGTGGCCAAGAAGGAAAGCAAGGATTTATTTGCTTGCAATGTATGCCAATGAGAACATGAGATTTAAGCTGAGCTTTCTGGAGAGTTACTCCATTTGTGCAGAAACTTGAGCTTGCAAAAATGTCTTCCTACTCTAAAGGATGCTGTAAACCTGGAGGTCGGAGTTGTGGACAACCTGCAGATAGCTGTGTTGGAAGATGCTGAGAAGGACAGGAGGAATTTTCACACACACAAAAAGAGGGTGTCTAAAGTAGCAATTGGTGTGGGAAGGCAAAACAAAGTAACACCCTGTGTGGGGGCCTACACATGTAGACAGCGCACTGTTAAGGTGTAAATTTAATCTGAACAAAGGTAAAGGTGAAGTGAGGGAAATGATTCTGCAGCATGTTGTTCCTGGACTAGTTTCCTTCCTGTCATAAGTATGTACCTCCCTGTTCCCCAGTTTTCCACTTTGAAAATCGGATCTGCATACAAACAAGTGTTTTAGGGCGCGTATGGCTACCTAAATTAGCAGCCTTTTTTTTTGGAGGGGCAGCTGGAGGCTTGGATGGGCAGGAGAGGAGGTTGTTTGGAGTACCTGGCATCTCCTACTGAAAAAAGAAACATACCATGGCAGCAAAGGTATTTATAGGTAAAAGTTCTTAGGCAGAGAAGTTGTTTTTTCCCACAACTGAATATAAGTGTGCAGCATCTACAGATTAACACTGTAAGGCACAATTTAGATTTTACTAGACTGAGTATTTTTTCCTGGGTCAGGTTTGCTACTTTCCAATTCAGTACAGAGCTGAAGAAGTTTTGGTAACAACATAGATCTCTGTAGTAAACAAGTGTTGTAAATTGAATTGTCCTTCCTGAGCTGCAAAACTTAGACAAGTGAAGCAACAGGATACTGAAAATGCGTTAGCTATGACATAATGCTCTGGGAATGCTTGACCTCACTGCAAACTTTTATTAGTCCTTTTGAGTTGGTACAGTTCCCCTGAAATACCTGCTTTTCAGCTGAAATTTTGTTAAAAAAGAAAAAAAAAAAGAAAAAAAGAAGAGAGAACTGCCTTTGAGAAGTTGTCCCTGTTTCTGCTGAACAGCAACAACATGTTCTTGAAAAAAATGAACCAAAATGACAAGAGATGTGCACTCTGACCCTCCTGCACTGCAACTCTGACACATCCTATGCTGGACCTTACATGGGCAAAGGCCTTTTCTTCACTGGTTTGACAACTTGAACTACAAGGCCTCCAGAAGAAGCAAGGGTTTTTCTCAAAAGAAATTATCAGAGCAACACTTTCAGAAAGACCTGTGATGGTGCATTATAGCTCTTTCATTTTAAGAATTCTGATGCACTCTAAGAACTAGTACAGTACTCAGAACAGTTGGCAGGCCTGCTACGACATTCAGTCTCTTCTAGGGAGTTACAGATGTACTTTAGAAATCACCATAATGCATTTGGCCATATGAAAAAATTAATGTCGCTCCTTTGAGGAGTGCTCATTTTTTTTAAAGCCAGGTTTCGCTTTGCTATTCCTTCATGTATTTTCAATTTTGAGCTGCTTTTGATACTTGATTTAGTTGAATTCTACCTTGGACTGGCATCCCAAGATTACAAACACACCTTTCACGCAAAAGGAGAAGTTACCTGAGTTTTCAGCAGCTGCTGATCTGGCGCTCACCGGAAATCTCCTTCTCACTCTTTGCCTTCCACAGGTCGGCACTCTGTATGGCTTCTCACGGCCTGAGCGGAGCACCATTTTGCAATTCGTTGAGAAGCTCTGGTAACCTGAGTTGTCTCTCATTCCTAGTCCTGAAGAATAAGTTGATATTTCAGTTGAGAAACAAGTTTGAAAATGGTAACATTTCAATACGTGACATTCAAGGCAATCAGGATAAATCCAGTAAACATGATAGCCTGGATGACTCAGGCTTGTGTCTTAAAAAGCAAGAACAGTGTTTCCGACGGCAGTAATTCAGTTGGATACATCTGAATTTCTACTAAGATGTATATATAAAGTCGTGTTAAAGGAATGTATTGAAAAAAAACTTACTCCTAGAAAGAATATGACTAGTTTATGTTATTTCATTTTTCTAAATTTACACTTTTCACCCATAGCAATCTTTCTGCAGTTCAGTGGCCGGACTGAAAAATCACACACTTTCTGTCCCTCAGAAATACCTTGGTTTTAGATCATTTTCAAAGCATTCATAAATGATAGTTTAGGATGCTAACTTCAACATACTATAGCCTAAATTTCAGTAAAGACAAGCAGCTATTTTGTAATCTTAAACGGAGAGTCAAGAAGGAGAACTGGAGTTTGTAAACTTGAGCAGCATATTAGAATAATTCATTCATGACTACAACAAGCAGCTGCAAGAAAAAATTCAACCTCAAGCCATTCGTATAACTCAGACAATTAGTGATTCATCCACAATATAATCATTTGACTTCAGTGTATTCTGCATCTTTCAAATGATGTTGCACTTGTGATTACATTTACTAAAACAACGCGTTGCTCTTTTTGAATGGCAGATGAATAAATGGATTACCTCAGGTAGATATCCTAAGGAAAGGCTAGCATCTAAGAATGGGAAATATACTGATGAGTGAACCGACCAGCCAGCCAGTAGGCTGTTAGCTTGAATCACTGCACTTCAGAAAAGCCGAGGATAATACTTCAGTTTGAAAAAAGGGAGGCTGGGCTTCTCACATCTAGGCAGTTTTCTGAAATCAACAGTTTGTGACCACTACTTATGGCAAAATGCACGTCACAGGAGACACCTGGCTTCAGTTATTTATGGCACCCTGGGAAAATGATCTAAGTGAAGGCAAGGATAACTTCAGCCCCATAATTTTAGCTTTGCACAGAGTAACTGAATATCAGCTAGGCCAGACAGCCTGTGGCTGTGGCAGGACAGAAATAATTTATGAAATCGTTTAGGGAGGTGAGTTCTGTATTCTAGTTTGATTTATTTCTTTGGTGCAATATTTCACATTTTGTTATTTATGAGAAATGGTAAAAATGAACGACTTCTTTCACTTCACTTCTCCTATTAGTAAATTAGACAAAGCTAACTAAAGTTCTTTTTTACTTTTTGGCTCAGTTAAAAACGAACACTGAGTTAGCCTATGGAAAAGTGAAATATCTCTAGTAGGAAAATATTTTTTTTTTCCTACTTACTGAATTTTCTCATTTTTCAAATGTCTGGTAAAAAATAGCCGGGGTAGAAAGCAAAGGCAAGGTGTTCTTCATCTTTCTGTAACTGCTTCATCATTGAAGTAAGCTAAACAAATAAAGAAGACCATTTGCAAAATCTTAACAGAACCTAACCTCTGCAACATCCTGCGTCAAGCTCCGCAGAGCATCTGGGAAATAATACCAGCTTGTGGATAGTCAGAGGCATTGCTGTGCTAGGAGTTCAGCCCCTACAAAGCATCAAGACCCAGTTAGAACTAGGGATGCTCAAAAATAGGCATTTGATCCCTCTTTGAACATTTCTAATGAAAGTATAAGTTTGACTGCACTCGATCAGAAGTCAGGAAGATTCAAAGTCCTGATTTTTACGACTAGTGAAACAGCCAGGGAATTATCTTATGATTCCATTGACTCTGGACTTCATAGACTGCAGGTATTAATTGCAACTTATTTTCAGATAGGCCTAAATGCTTATTGAAGTGGAAATTAATTTTATGAAGAGCTAAAGTGACACCTTGCTAACCACCGAGACACAAAGAGTGTTTCATCTGAATTATTTATACTCCGTGAGAAGACAAAGACAATGCAAGCTAGGACCCCAAAGAAATCCTGGGGAGCACAGAGGAATGATTCTTAGAAAACTTTCTTCTCAGAACAATGGGCATATTCAAGTTCTGAAGGACTGTACTCCAATTCAGTTATTTTTGGTTATTTTAATCAGCAGACATTTGAAAACGAGAAATTGTAAAAGTTTGTGTTAGATCTTAGTTCTGCTGGCACTGTAGGATAAATAAAACTCTCTACAATGATTTAAAAAGACACAAGCTTCCACAGCTTCAATTTCCACGTGCAACCCACAGCAGTGTGCGAAATAAAGACGCTCTCATTCTGATAACCCTTTCCTCTTCCACCATGTACTTACATACATGCCACCTACTCCCACTCTTCATTTTTATTCACAGTTGTTTCTGTTTTGTGTTTTTGTTGTTGCTGCAATGTCTTTTCATGCCCATTTCTTCAGTTCACTAATTTTCCACTTCTGTGCGGTATACACTGCTTGAGGAGGGCTAGAAAGAGGAGGTGCATGTTCTTGGCTGCAGAACAGGTCAGACACCATTTGTTTTGGAGACAATGGTCTCTTTCATTTTGTTTCACATCCACACTAACTGGAAGGGAAGCAGAAAACTCGATCCTTGGCTCTTCAAGCTGCTGGAATCAGCTATACTTAAGCACACTGGTGGTCAGTGGCAGCAAGGTCACCCTGAAAGCATAGGGGGTTTGAATCTTTTTCCTGCTATGTACAAGTCGATGCATTTGCATGAAGGCAGTAAAGAAAATCCATTTCATATAAAATAGTACATAATCTGTAAAACTTCCTGCCTCCTTAGTAATCTCTTGTTCTTAGGCATCATTCACTGTTCCACTTATCCCAGGCACATCTCAGTACATATAAACAGAACTTAAAAAACTTGGAGTCCATTCACGCAGTAGAATGATCCAAATATTATCTAATTCTATATAGATACATTCACAGCAAGCACTCCCTGGGACCATTAGATGAGATCTGTTTTTATTGTGTTCGGCTGCAGCTGACAGCCCTGCTTTCAAGTAACATAAGCAACTTCTCAAAGTTTCTTACAATTTAACAATTTAGAAGTAGATTAAAAGGATCTTATGCCAATCCACGGTTAATAAATACTGGGGATGCAATTACTTTCACATCAACTAGCTTTTACAAAATCTGGAGACTCTAAAATAGATATAGAAACATACAGACTAGGTGTAAAAAAACAGGTTGCAGAAGGGGCTTTGGAAGAGAAGTTTAAAGTGAACAGATAAATCAGTATTTGTTAGATTCTAAGCAAGCAGTATGGTAAATAAAGTCTTAATCTGAAACCTTGAAACCCATTCAGAACCCTGCTGTAAAGACTTTCACTCTTGCTTACCTTATTGTGCCTGCTTCTGTTCCTCTGCTGGGATACTTCCACTCAGCAGAATGCTACTAGCTGCTTTGCAACAGCCAATTTATTTCATGAAAACATGGAAGGGAGCCAAACCTCAGAGTAAAAGAAAAGTCTGACGTGGATCTATTCTTTTTGATCTTTATACCCGCTCACTTACATCAATATTCTTACGACTCTCACAATTCTTGGAATGTCCGAAATGGTAAATGCAATTTTCTTAAATATTATTTCCTCAAAGTGCTGTAGAAAATGTCTTCCCTGGAACTTCATGCAGTTTCTTAACCCGCATTTCTGCATAGAGTCTGAATAACCCCAGAATTATTACTCAAACATTGTATGTCACTGGTATTGTTGCTACTGTCTTTTCCTTCAAAGGTTGATCCAAGGGCAGATCCTGGGTTTCTGGCAATGCTGTCTTTCTGCAAGTAAGAGTGAAGCCTCAGTTGCAGGAAGCTTGAAGCAAGTTAATTGCTCAAATATTTACTCAGATATTAAAAAGTGATTTGCAGTCTATTGTAATTGCAATACTTTGCTTCTGGTATGAGTGTGAACTTGTTTAAAGTGGATGTGCTGTATTGATCTGCCTATAAATCTCAAATAATTTTTTGTCATGAGAGGTTTAGCTCTGTCACAATCTGCTACGTTCAGTTGACTTTATTTATTTACTTCTGTCAGACAGTCCTTTTGATTCATAAGCATTCGATTTATTTTAATGCCAGCATTACATTTTTACAGGAATGAATCAGACATCCGCGCACCTCCCTGAAATAATGAAACTCTGCTAAGAACAATTACTGCTCCTTTTTGCCAGTCTTCTAAAAACTGATATTCAGCAAATCCAAACAGAGCTGCTCCTTTTATCCAGAATTTGTATGCAGTGTCAAGAAATTTCTCAATTTTATCTGTATCTGGTGTATAAAACACCTCTTTTAGTTTGTTAAGCCCCAGTAGGCTCTGGAAATACATCAGGTCAGTATAAAGACTTTCTAAGAATATACATTTCGCAACAAAGCAATGCAGAGCTTTGAAATCTCACATCTTTGCCTGTCACTCAGGCAGACACAGAAATGTGGGTATTACTCTAAATGTGTGACTGTTTAGTACAGGACAGATGCAACTAAAAATGCATATGATGCAGCAGGAGCATTTTTAGAATACACAGGTTTTCAGAGCCTGCTCTGGGGTTAGAGCTGATTACCTGCAGCAGCTGTGTTTGTTGTTAAAAGTGGCTGGATCCAGGTTGCAAGATACAGACTCTATCTCCTACGAACAATTCTGACAGGCTATATATGATCCTGGCCCCCAGATAATATTCCAGACCTAGGTGAAGTGCTTGTGCTCCCTGAAGCTGCAGCACAGAACAATTTCTGATTTTACACGAATGACTGAACAGAGGCGATGCACAACACCAACACTGCTGCAGAATAACCAAGTAATAACATACAACAACAGCCACAAAGAGAAACTATTTAAAATTATTCGTAACGGATATGATCTGGGTCGGTTAAGCCATGTAGATATTGAAGATGTATCAACACCACGTCTGACTTCACAATTAACAGACTTCAGAATTTATTTTAAGCATTTTTCTTCTTTAATCTGTAACTGACCGTGTCATTGAACATTCCTGTGTGTGAAAGATTCCACAG